ATATGGAGATCTCAAAGAGCTGGAACTAGAGGTTCCATTTGACCCAGTCATCCCTCTGCTGGGTATCTTTCCAAAAGAATTAAAAGAATCATACCACAGTGATATAGGTGCATGTATGTTTATAGCGGCACAGTTTGTAATAGCTAAAACTTGGAAACAGCCCAATTGCCCATCAGTTGGAGACTGGATAAAGAAGATGTGGTTTTTCTATAAAATGGAATACTACTCAGCCATAGAGTATGAGAAACTAGAGTCATCCCTAGGAAAATGGATGCATATTGAGGCCATACTCTTAAGTACAATAAATAAGACACTTGTGTAAATACTGAATCATCTTTCTGGTGTGAAAAACTAAAAGTGTAAATAAAATACAAATTGTATAATTGACAATGTGAAATAGGAAGAAAAGGGCTAAAGTTGTGGGGGAAGTGGCAAGGGTAGGGGAAAGGAAATAAGGGAGAAGAAAAAACATGACAAAAGGAAAAAATGGAAACAAAGTCTATGTAATTAGGGGAGGCTGGAGTAGGTGAAGGAAGGTCAGGGATATGGGGAAGATATGAGAACCAAGATCTGTTTTGCAAAAGGTAAAAGATCCCAATGATGAGTGTAACTGAACTATATACTTAAAAAGTACCAATAAACTCAATGAAAATAAAAAGAAGGAGAAATGTGGCAATACTCCCAAAGCTCTTGAAGTACACATAATCTTTGGCCAATTTCATAAGAACTTGTCTTAAGGAAATAGTAAAGAACTCACCCAAAGATTTAGCACAGATTTGCCGGCTGTGGTGGTGCACTCCTGTAAGCCCAGCATTGAGGAGTCTGAAGCAGGAGTTCGAGGCCAGCCTGGGGTACATAGTGAGACCCTGCATCCAAAAAAAAGAAACAAAAGATCTAGCACAGACTGATGTTAGGAAGGAAATGCATTAGACTAAATGAAAGCAGGTCTATACAAATAACACAAAGCCCTGTGCGACGGAAGATTTTTGTCAACTTGAGAAGTTTAGCTAAGCTTCTCTTAACCAAACTGGCTCAGCTAGGGCATGGAAGACCAGTCCTAGGCCGGCTCCACACCTAGATGGTATCAAGAGGACATGAGGAAGGACAGAGAGGCTTCTGTTTTTTGTTCATGTGCTGCCAAACTGCTTGTTTCTTCTGAGCAGCTCCAGTCTTCGCCCTCACCTTGGATGCCGTCTCCTGGCTTCCAGCTTAGACTCTTCAGCTTCCGTAGTGGATCCTTCAGTCCAGCACATACCCTGAAATGGACTCGCACGGGACACTGTGATGAGCTCCACACCTTCAGCTAAATCCTTCAGTCTCCAGTGTACGGACTGGACTCTTCCTCATCCGTCTCCATGGGTGACCGTTGAAGCCAATCTCGTAACTTCTTGTATATTTATATATTTTGTGTTATACCTGTTTCTCTAGTAAATACTGACTGATACACCCTGTAATCACATTAGGTGTTTTGAAAAATATTAGTCACCAATGAGTTTTAATTTCCATGTTGTTAAAATAAGTATGATAGAATCTACCTGGCTAGAGCCAACTGATAAGTTGTCCAAGCAAGATTCATGCAATACCCTTCAAAAAACCACCTATTCTCTTTGTTTCCCTCTCTGCCTTTTTTGACAGAAAGGCCATTCCATTTTTTTTTTTTTTTTTTTTTTTGGTACCGGGATTGAATTTAGGATCTTGCACTTGCAAGGCAGGCACAGCACCACTGAGCTACATCTCCAGTGAACGGCCATTCGTTCTCCTCTCCATGGAGAAAAGTCAGAACAGCTTTCCAGAGACATCTGGGCCTTCTTATACAATGACAAGTGTTCCAGATGCTGTTGGCCATTGAAAAACAAATCTGTTTGATAATGAATGACAAAGTTCCATATAATAGGTACAGGGTCAATCTTGATTCCAAGTTAAAGTTTCCCCTTCTTCCAACAGCTGCCACAGCCTTGCCACTTGCAGGTTGATTTCTTAACAGAAAGGTAGGAATTATTCATTAAGAAAGGATACGGAGGGAAGAGCCTAGACAAGGGAGGGGAGACAGGAAGACCCTCCCTCTGTAAATGCCAAGCCAGCCATTCTGGGAGAGGTAGAGCTCTCATTATGCCAATATAGCTTCAGAAGCTGCCAGAAATCAACTGCATGCAATTGGAATTTTGGAAAAGACATACTGCATGTGTGTGCAATCCTGTGAGCTGTTGAGTGCACTGGAAAGTTAAATAGGGGTAAATTCAAACCCTCCATTTGCCATTTAGCCCCTGGGGACCCTGTACAAATTGCTTAAGCTAATTCCGTTTCCTGGGGTCCATAAAATGATGTTCTCTCTCAGGTTATGAGGATGAAGTGGGATAATGCATGCAAAAAGCAAGGCACTGTCCCTGGGGCATTAAAATTACCCACCAAATACTCAGACACTGAGGGCTTGAACTCATGTCCCCCAATGGTCACAGACTGAATAACTGGGCCATCCTCAATTCCTGCTAAGCAAACAAGGCCATGTGTCCCCCTCCACACTCCAGGAACCATCTCCTTCCCAGAACAGCAATGCCAGAGGGTTAGACTCAGACCCAAAATGGGCTCAGAAGAAGGAAGACATGGAAGAAAGTGCTTAGAAAAGATGCAGAGATTCAGAGACACATGGGAACTGGTGTCCAGAGGCCCCTTCCAGAAGGCCCTGACTGATAGTCACCTTGGGATCTTCATAAGTTTGTTGGGAGGGGTGGTGTTGGCCTTGTTTTGTCACTCCCAGCCATCTTCCATTCCCTCCTTTCCCAGTGGAAACCAAAGCTGGACCTTGGCCTCTGGGTGTTGAAGACTATCTTCTGTGTATTCATCTGGCCTGGTGACGTTTGGAGACTCTGCTTGTCTCCAAAGGGAGGGGGGAATCTACTCTCAATACTCTGGACACAATACTACAGGGTCCCTCAGCTTGCAAAATGCATCTGAAATTGTTGTATGCAATAATTTGAGCAAACATTTTGCCACTGCACGAGAGTCACCAGCTCTCCAGCCTACAGTGATCGTCCTCTCCTTTTCTGAAGTCCAGCTTGCTGTTATCGTCACTTACAGGACCAAATTCTATGTCAGGAACAAATAACAGAATCCACTCTGGCTAGGTTAAGCAGAAAAATAATTAAGCAAAAAATACTATGCTCACAGAATCTGTGGGGATAGCAAGAGAAGAAGCCTGGGGAATAAGCTTCACCTCTGAAACATAGCTGGAGAACTGACCTGAGAGAGGAATCACCATCACTGGATTTGACCATGACTTTACTGCACTTTCTAATGCCACCAGCCAGCACTGATGTCCCGTCTGCTTCAGAACTACAACCTGGCCTCCAGGAACCCACTGGCTCTGCTACAACCACCATCAAAGTTCATCGCGCCTGCCGCTATCCCAGTCAGGGAAGATGGACATTCCAAACACTTCCTGCCTACTCACCTCACTCCCAAGTATCTGGAATGAAGAAGCAGAGGTCATAGGCCAGTGCCCCAGATGCAAAGGAAGTTGGGAAATTGAGTCCTGACTGCTAGTCTGGAATAAAAATAGGGATTTCCACAAACATTAAAGAGGACTTTCCAAGGACGATGAGCAACTGTGTCTATGACAGACACCTGCTAGATATTCTAAAGTGGAAAATAAGCGAAATGCAGAACAATGCATCTGGCCTCCTATCACTACTTTAAGAAGAAAAACTGGTCTGCATGCATAGACCATCTCTGGGAGGTTCCAGAGGAACAAGTACCTATTATCTCCAGGGTAGGGAACTTTATAATCATGGGTGAGAGGAAGACTTAATTATCACCATGTCCTCCTTTTGATTAAGATGGATTGGGGGGAGGGTAGGAGAAGATAACCATGTTTCTTGTTTCTCTCATTCTCCATGGCTCCAACTTGCCTCCCATGAAGGCTATTGTGCTCCTCCTTTGTTCTTCCTCCTTGTCTTAGTCCAGAGTCTGCAGACTCATCGGGACACATCCTCTCTGCCCTGGTAAAGACAGCACTGGAGAACTTGCCTGGGTATAGAAAGTACACATTACCATCTCTCTGGAAAGGAGAGTGTATCTATAATAAGCACATGGCAGTTCTCCACAATGAGCCAAATGAGTCCTCTACACCCCAGAAACAGCTCCCACTTTATGTGTCCCAAGGACCCAGCGGAAATAAAGTTACATTTTAGGTGGCTGTTGCTATTTTTGCTGAGTCACCATGAGAGACCGAACTAAGCTAAAGTGATTCCAGGTTGGCTGGCTAATAGCCCCAGAGATTGTTATGCACCCCCTGTAAGATATCTGATGACTCTCCCTTTGCAGCTGTGAGACAGCCCTGACCTTCGTTTGTAACCTTTACTGCATAACTTTGTAATCTTAAATTCCTAGTCTCAACTGCGATTAATGTAAATTAACAGGTGAATGTTTAGTAGTCCTGGGTAAATAGATAAAGATTGTTTCACTCCTTGTCTGTCTGCCCAGAAGGATTGTTTTTAAAACCTTGGGACATTCTGTAAGCATCTTGAGCATAGACCCCCACCCTGCCTATCCCCTTATAAAAAGGACCTCAGCCCCTGAGCTGGCTCCTCTTGGAGCTACTTGGCTCCGGGAGTGCCCTCTGGCCAGACTAGTAAAGGTCTGTTTTCCAACTAGTCCGGTGTGTTCCTTCCCAGGTGAATCTTGTGGCTGTCGAGCTCTTCGGAGCAGTAAAGTCAATCAAGCTCTTTGGAGGGGTAGAATCGAGCTCCTCAGAGTGGTAGTAAGGCCTTAGGTCTTACAGCCAGACTTGTAGCAGATGATAAGCTGAAGACATCATGGAGAAACTTACACTGGGTAACAGCCTGTTTGTTTTCTTCCAATAAAACCATCCATCGGTCAGGAAGGAAACAGCACCTTTCTTCTCCAAGCAACTTTCTCATTCTAGCTAAATTATAGGATGGATATTTACAATTTTCTGAACTTTGAGAGCTCATCTAGGGGAGGTGAGATGTTGCTGGAAGAAGAAAGCAGTTTGTGTCTAACAAGTTAAATGTAGCTAGAAATTTATATTCTATCAGTATATGTTCACTGTACATAATGACTATTATTCATCATGGGGAATCAGTACATACACATGCTGTACCTTGAACACTTTTACTTCCCTTCCTCTCTTCTCCCTCCCGTCTCCCCCTATTCCCAGATCCCCTTCTCATCTCCACAAAGTCTATCTCCTTGTTTCCAATCATCTCTTATTTTCTTCTTTAGATTTGTTATATTTTACATCCCTCATATAAGAGAAACCATGAGATATTTAACCTGTGTCTGATTTATTTCAATTGGCATTATGGACTCGAGGTGTATCCATTGTCTTACAAATGGCTCAAATTTATCCTTCTTTTTAGCTGAGGTGTGTGTGTGTGTGTGTGTGTGTGTGTGTGTGTGTGTGTGTGGTGTATACCGGGGATCGAACTCATGACCTTGAGCTTACAAGGCAGTCTCGGCACCCCTGACCTAAATCCCTGGCCCTGTGATATTTTCTTTATCCATCTGTTGATGAGCACACAGGCTGCTCATCATATAATATAATATTATTATAATACAGCTATTATAAATTGTTTTGCATTGAACATGAGTATGTGTGCATCACTGTGTATGATGCCTATGGTCCTCTCCTTCCCTTTTGTCCTCAGTGACTGTGGAACATGACCACATTTCTCATCCAGTTCAGTCTACTCATAGCCTGCATGATAAGACAGACACACCTTCCTTTTGAAGATACTAATTCGTAAGTCAGTTTATCAGTGTGTGGGTGATTGGTCATAGATATCACTTCAGTATTTGTGCCATAAACATGTAAGATTTTATGGTAAGGAGATATAGCTCCTCCTTATATCCACCACCCTTCTGCTACCTGAAGCACAATAACTATCTGCTAACCAAAAATACCTTTTATAGAAACTACAGGTTATTATGGACCACTGTCAAGATCTTATCCAAAGCTTCAAATTGTCTCAAAAATCACTTCCTTGACTGTAAGGCAAGAGGAGACCGGGGGACAGTGGGGAGGAAAAGAAGGTAGTAACAGCTATAGACATTATCAAAATATGTTATATGAATCTATGAAAATGTCACCATGATCCCCAATTCAAAACTAGTTTTCACTTGTTGAATAAAAAAGTTTTCTTTGTTTTGTTTTTTGAGACAGGGTCTCACTATGCAGTTGAGACTGACCTGGAACTCACTATGTAGCCCAGGCTGGTCTCAAACTCACAGCGATCCTCCTGCCTCAGCCTCCCAAGTGCTGGGATTACAGGCGTGAGCCACCATACCCGGCTGAATAAAGAAGTTTTAAAAATCACTTCCTTTCTAAAGTCTTTTCTTATTCTCCCCAACACCTAGCAGAAGTGGGCCTCTGTCTTCTCTCTTCACATCTTACAACTGGAAGATAAATAAAGTCTGTGCCTAGTTAATCTACATACTTTCAGCAAGTACAATATCTAGCTTAGCATCTATGTAATACAGTGACTAAATGAATAAATAAGCTAAATTAAATTATAGGCTCAGAGTGATGATTCTGTTATTTTGAAAAAGAGAGAGTTTCTTCTATCCATTTTACAGATGAGGAAATTATCATTTTTAAGTCTGGTTTTTCTACTGTCACCAGGAAGCTAGTCCTGATGCTGTGAAGAACCAGCCACTCACTCTGGTCCTCAATTCTTCGGGCCTTTGATGAAAGACTTCAGTCAAGGGCCAGGAGATTTAGCTCAGTGATTTCACCACCTTACTCACAAGCACAAGGTCCCAAGTTCCATCCCCAGTACCAAAAATAAAATAAAAAAGAAAGACTTCAGTCAAGACACATAGGCAGATCAATGAAGAAAAAAAGGCAGCTAGGCAGAAGTACAGGTAGTTTATAGTAAAGCAAAATACACAGAGAGTTACACCTTCAAGAAGGCAGGCACCCCACGGAGACATCTGTATGGACTACAAGTTTGGCTATCTTTCTGTGTACTGAGTTACTCCTGGGGAGCTAGTGTCTTTCTGTTCTTTTCATTTGGCCTGTGTTCCCTGAGGGGCCTTAACCAAGAAATGTAGGAAGGAAATCATGAAAGGAAAAGTTTTAATCTAAATCAGAACTCAGCCCAAGGAGGGAGGGTCTTTAAAGAATGTTGCCGTTTCTGCTAACAACCGACATAGGCCAAGGGCCCCAAGGATCCCATAAGCCTTGTTTTGGAAATAAATAGCCAAGTGGTGTGTGTGTACACACAAGGTGTGTAACCTTAACGTGTCCTTCCTTGTGCTGTGCAGGATCACTTTGGGTCTGAGACCTAACAAATACTAGAAATGTATTACATACAAGGTCTCTTCATTTAGCTATAAGCTTGTAGTAAAGTGAAACTTTTCTCATTTAACTGTAACTGGCAGAGCACGCCATTCGCACCTCCTTTGTCCCCCGTTTCCGTTAATGTTTACCTGCCCAGCACAACTCGGGGCCCAGCCCACCCCCCAAGTAGCAGACGTTGTGCGAATAGCCCAAGGTCACCTTCCTTTCCTGGGTGGCCTCGCTCTCTTTGGACACGAATCCAATAGGAAGGAGACTAGCAGACGGGGTGGGGAGCCTGAGGTGAGCCACCGCAGACACGGCCCAGACGTGTCCCAGCCTTGGGTCTCCCGGGATCTTCCGTCCTTGCACCTCACCCTGCTGGGGATTCACATCCCGCTCTGATTCAGCGTTGAGTCGCCTCGGTCTCTCTGCACCTGGCTGCGTGCTCCGGGATCTTCGCAGACGCAGTCTTCCAGCCAGGAAGCGAGTCTCCCAGCCTGCACGCCCCAGGGTCTGAGCAATGCCTGTGCCCGGAGGGCAAGGGAAGCGTGGCCTTATCACCTGGGCTCTTCCCGGTTCTCCTGGGGACGCCGAACGAGCTGGAGGCGGCCCCTTACGGACGCGCGATGGGAGGTCGAAGGAGAGGCCAAGGTGGGCGGTGAACCCGCGTTCCAGAGTTTGCTCCCCGCCCTCCTGTCTCAGAGCTGCCTTTGGCCACCTCTGGCCCTTAAAAACTGCAGGCTGCGCCTCCTCCTCCCCGAGGGAGCAAGACCCAGCAGGCCGGGCTGGGCGTGCCCTCGCCTGCCCGCCGAGCCTCCCCGCTCTCG